AACCCAGAGGCTGATGGTTTGAACACACCCAGCAGCTTCACGGAAGAAATGTCAGAGGAACTGCTTCCATAAAAATTACAGCCCAGAAAACTCTATGGAGCTGTTTAACTCTATAACAGATGGGGTCACCATGAGTCAGAATTGACTCAGTGGTGATGGGTTGTTTAAATCTACAAATTGATCCTGATACTTGCTCGAAACCTTCCAGTGGCTTCCCTTGGAGGCGCTAAGTCCTGAGAATGACCTAAATGCCTTCCATGGTTTGGCCCACCACTGCCCCTTCAACTCCACCCCTTAGGGCTAGCTACACTGCCTCCATGCTAGCTCTTAAACAGACCAGATATCCTCGTATCTCTGAGACTTTGTACTTGCTGTTCCCTCTTCCAAGAAGGCTTTTGCCAGATGCCCCCATAACTTCTGACTCTCAGGTCTCACTTAAATGCCACCTCATCAGAGCCGTCTTCCCTTACTTCCTGTGCCCCCACCCCCTGCCACTTCTCTGTTCCTAGTCATCTTTTCCATCCCATTTTATTATTATTATTATTATTGTTTTCTTAGCACTCTTAACCACACCTGACATCTTATTGGTTGACTCTGTGTCTTCTGCACTGGGATGTCGGCTCCATGAGGGTAGAGGTTTTGTTTTGTTTCCTGCTGTACTCCCAGGATCTGGAATGGCACCTGGCACACAGTAGGGACACACAGTAGGAGCACGCAGTAAATAGTTCTTGAATGAGTGAATAATAGGAGCTCATTTAATCTAGTTTCTCTTTTTCCTTCCCACTAGGAGAGCTTTTTCACAGAATAATGAAATTTCTCTCAAATCTATAAAAGCTGCTGTTGTACTAGTTTGAGGGTTTTTCATCCTTGCTAGCCTAAAAATTTGATTTCTGTAGTTTCTGATATTCATTTGGCACCTATATTTCATTTAAAAGCATTGTTTAGCTGATTCAGCTCTTAGACTTTCAGGCAGTTAATGATTATTCTTAAAATCGGTTTTCCATGAAAGGAGTTATGACCAAACCCCCTTTTATAAAGGCAGCATTTCAGCTGTAATAGTGAGCTCTGCCAAATGATTTTTTCTGAACACTGAAGGTTTAATCCTTTTCATTTTCTTAATTGATGTGTAAAATCTTATCACGAAGCTAGATTCATTAAAAAAACAAAAACAAACAGGTCTTTCAATTTTAAATTAATTGATTCAAGATTACAAAACATATTTCACTTGGGCCTGTAGACTTCATACTAGTTAAGGGACAGTCCTTTTCTAGAACTATTAAGCTTTCTAAAACTTTTAAATATTATGTTGAATTTTCCCTTTCCCCTCAAAAAAAAAAAACCAAACAAAAAAATCAATGTACGTTGAAATCAATCTAGAGCTAGACTTGATTTACTGTTATTCAATTTAGCATGTAGTTAATGAGCCTGGTGTTACGTGTTCAGCTATGGGATGGAGGGGCAAGGTGTCTTGTCCTCAGGGGTTTGTAACCTTTTTGGGGAGATTTGTGTACACGTGCACAAAATACATAGAGAAAAAGGCCTTGTGCTTCAGGTTCAGTAGCAGAGGTGTAAACAACGTGCTGGGCCTCAAAGAGAGAGTCATTGTGGTTATTGGTTTGAGGGAGACTTTCCAAAGGAGGTCTCCTGTAACCCGGGCTTGTGTGTGTTGGGGAATAAGATTTTTCTTTGGTAAAAGCTTAGACTTTGTGATGGAAAATTAATTAAAGGAAGTTGAACTAGATTAATTAAGATAATAGTCTATGCTTTTCAATCTTTTTTTGTTTTTAAATTCATCAAGGCAAGCCAGTTTTTACCAGAACCTATGTCAGCAGCATTATTCCTTCTTTCTTTGGACGTGCCCTTTTCTTTGGAATATCCAAATATTCATGAAGCTGTTGTGGCCTATTTGGAACAGCTGAATTCTGAAAACTACAGCATTTACAAAAGGACAGCAGAGACTGTTTATTCAGTTGAGTGCACCTGTAACTTCATGTTTGATGTTGGGAAGGAGGTAAAAATGTTTTAACATCTCTTTTAAATCCCTTTGATAAACTGTTTAGAAAATTTAACCTATACTTTTCAAATAGATGAACATGTAACAGTTGATTTGTTAGAGGTGGGATATATTATTACTGATTGGGTCAGTTATCAGATTAAAGAATGTGATTAATAATAAAAGTAAAACCAAAACTAGATTAATGAACGGTGTGTATTACATCAGTGGTTAAGAAAGCAGTAATTATTACAAATGTCATAATATTTAATAGTGAGTTCTTCTTTGAAGTGACTTAGTGTGGATGAGCAGAGTGACAATTGAAGTTATGAGGGCCATTTTAGTGTTTACTTATGAACACATTTTTGCTTTAATGTTTCATAGACACTTACCACATTCTAACAAAGAGCCTGATTTTTTTTTTTTTAAATAATGGTCATGAACTAGATTGCAGAATTGTGAGATAACTTTAGTTGCAGTGTCATAGCAATAATTATGCACTGTTATTTACACTTTTAGAAATACTATTTATACCTTTTTAGATATACTATTAGGATATTCTGGAGCCCTGGTGGCACAGTGGTTAAGAGCTACGACTGCTAACCAAAAGGTTGGCAGTTTGAATCCATCAGCTGCTCCTTTGAAACCCTATAGGGTGGTTCTGCTCTGTCCTGTGAGGTCATTATGAGTCATAATTGACTCATTGGCAATGGGTTTTTGTTTTCTTTTAATTAGGATATTGAGTATGTTGTAAGTGAAGGCGTTAATGAGTCTTCAAGATAGACATTCACTCCAGGAGTTGTTTACTGTCTGAAAATGCCAGCATGGATCCTGAAGACCTTTAAGAATTGGAAACACAATTCTTAGTAATTTTGGCTCCTCCAGTGGAGTCTATCTGAACCTATTTATAATTTTCCTTTATTTACATACTGTTGTTTTTTTCTTTTTCTCTTCTTTTTACTGCTTCTTGATGCTGCTTGTTTTCTTCACAGTAGAATTTTGAATTGTCTTTAAGTTGAATTATTTCTGTTGCGTTCTGCATGGTCAGATGATCATACATGTGTTGAATGTCCTCTGTGTTCCTAGAACCAGGCAGGATGTTGGAAGAGGCAGGTGGACCCTGCCTTTGAGCGTATAGTTAATAGGGGAGATACGGCTACAAACAAGCAGTCAGGGAGCCCAGCAACTCTAGTGTAATTTTAAACTTATTCTGAGTTTAAAAATGGAAAGTCTCATGTGGCGCTTAGGTTGGGATGTCTCCCACATTTTTCTCCCTAGGCTGACATTTTCAGTTTGCTTGTTGAGAAAGTAGACTTAAGCAAATGTGAATTCAGGGTCTCTGGATGTTCTAAGTTCTTGAAGCTGCATAGTCAGCTGTTGAAGATTTTATAGTACATGAACTTGACATTTACTTTTCCATTCTGCTTCTTTTTCAGGGAGAGAAGAATCTCTTAGAATTACTGGAGCTGGCAGACCAAGCCTTGCGTAGCTTTTCTTTTCATCAGCATTTTCCCCTAATAAAGGAAATCATCTGCATTTGTTCAAAAATGTAATATTTACTTTCCTAATCTACTTATATTATTATAGAATACATTGTGTGTGTGTTTACCTGTGTGTGTGCACACATGCATATAATGGATGTGTTTTTAAACTGAGAAGTTATGAAAATGAATCTGATCTTAAATCTTGTTACTACTTTTTTTTAGTTTCGATTGGCGTTATATGTCTCTGACCTTTAAACTCTATATACAGCTGTATTAGGACAGTTAATTTTATGTTTACTCAAGAGTAAACATTAAAAGTATTATGCCTATAATTAAAATAAATAATTCCTGGATTGTTTTTGGCATCCACCCAAACCAAGTATTCTAGCACATTTTTATTTCTTTATCTTACAATCTTAATTAATAGATTATATTGAAAAGTTTTTTTTTTTTTTTAAAGTTTTATTACTTTGTGCCTTTTTCTTATATGGATTTTTGGAAAGCATTAGCCATTGTTTAATTTATCCTGAGGACATCAGAGCATATTCCAGTCTAGAACTTAGTATCTTCATTGCTTTTTGAAAGAATATATTCCATGAAGTGATAAGCATCAATGGTTTTTCTTTTATTTATTTTCCTGTTATACAAGATAAATGAAAATAAAAACATTTCTGATGTTAATGTTTATTCTTATCAAGCCTTTACAATGCCAGGGGTAAGGCTACAGTTTGTTATTGATTGGATATAAAGGCTACAGAATTTGAAAGACATGAAAAGCTTTCAGAAAGCCCAAGAGAGAAAAATGAAAATGATTAATGAGATAGAAAATGGGTCTTGTGATGATAGACTAAGGAATTTGAAGTTATTTATTTGAAAAAATAAAAAGCTGCTGTTGGGTGGTAATTTAAGTTAAAAAAAAAAAAAAAAGACAAAACAAAAAAAACCGGCTGTAAAATGGAAGGTAGCGACTAGATGTGTCCATATCTGTGAAGTTCAAACAAAAGGTGAAGATTTTAAGCTTTTCCTTTTAAGCTTGGCTTAAGGAGAAACAAAACCTGTATTATAACCTTAAGAGTTAATTATGGATTTTTAAAGACAATCTGGGTTTTTGTATTCTTTAAGAGAGAATATACTCTGCCCTGAAGCACGTAAGTGCTTAGGTAAGTACTTGTTAATATTGGGTTAGTTAAGTGAATCCCAGTTGGAGGAATTGGAGTAGGAAGAAATCCTTTCTAATGTTTTGCACTGTTTGGTTTAGTAACTTACTTGCCTTAGATGTCTTACCTTTTAACCAGCTGGAAATCTGCACAGGCCAGCCCGTTACTACAAGGAGAAAGTCAGAAGGTGTTTCTGCGTTTGTTGTCTCATCCATTGCTAAAAGTGAAAGTTGAAACTTACCACTGCTGTCTGGAAATTATTAAGGTGCTTTTTTTTTTCCTAAATTTTAGGAGTGAGGGTAGGGAGGGAGAACTAACAGTGGGTTCTCTTATTCTATTCCCCGAATTAAATTACATGAATATATTAAATAGATATTAAATTACATTAAATATAAGAACTATATTCTATAATAATAGATGGTAATTATTAGTCAGTTCTAGGAAATTCATTCTGTTAAACTCCTTCTCTTAATAAATCTAGTAATTGACTTACTTTGTTAGAGTTTTTATTAAGATTTAATTTTATTGCATTTTATTAGGAACCCTGATGGCACAGTGGTTAAGAGCTTGGCTGCTAACTGGGCTGCTAACCAGAAGGTTGGCAGTTCGAATCCACCAGCCGCTCTTTGCAAACCCTATGGGCAGTTCTACTCTGTCCTATTTTATTATATGATACATAGTTTATTACATTTATTTTGTGTTCCTTAATGATGGAAAAGATAGTAAGGAAAAGTTGACTTTGACTATTCACGTGATTTTTATGCTCAGGAAGTTTTATGTTATTAAGGCCTAGATTTTGCAGTTTCAAGCCTATTTTCTTACTAATTTTCTTTCTTTTTAAACACATTTTTATTTTTTATGTTTTTTAATTATAAAATATTTCAGTAAATAACAATACATAGAATATTAAATATTTCGATATTGAAAAGAATGTTGTATATCAGGCAATATTGAAAGGTATACACGTTCCTATGTGCTCTTGAAAACATCCTCTTGTTTTTGACACTCTAAAAGAAAATAAATTTATGATAATTAGTCTGTGGATGGTACAGGGTCATTCTTGTACTTAGGTGCATAGCTGTATTGATAATAAAAACCCTACATGTATATTGTCTTCTCAGCCTCAGTGCAATAACTTTAAGTGTGTTTCGGTTTGATTTTGTTTCTCTCTCAAACCTCTAAGTAAAACTCTAATCTTAGGATAAACTTGTTATTTTATGTTCTTTATGTCTATAATTATGAACACCTTTAAGGGATTATGGTAGTCTCAGCAGTTTGGTCATTTAATTTATCAAGACTACTTGTTGGCAGAAAATAACGCAAGTATCTCATGCTGACTCACAAACAGGAAAGAAAACCTTCTGTGTCCTCCATTGGTAAAGAAAAAGGTTTAATGAACTGAAAATTAAAATTAGAAGTGAATTATAAACAGAAGAAAGGAGAATCCTTGGAAAAATTGGTGTCATTAATTAAAATATTTTTATGTTATTTTACAGGAATGCTTAGGTGTCCGTAACGTCACTAAGCCTGTGTCTTCAATTTGTAATGGAATTCATTTTCTACTTCATCCAAAAGTTCTCTATGAAATCTCCACATTCGGCATTCAAGAACCCCAAAATGAGGTATGACATGTTAAAAGTAAGTGCAAAAGGTTACTGTAAATCTTTAGATCCTCAGCTAAATGAAGGCAATATTCTAATAACTGCACCTCCTCCTCACTTATCGACTGTCTCATTATCTGACATTTTGCATTTATGACAATAGTAAAAAATCTATCTGATCATTTTGTGCATTGACGACGTAAGTCTAGCAGTAACGAATGCCGAGGTGTGAGGCAGGAGTAATACTGGCTATGATGGTTAAGGTTATGTGTAAATTGGTTAGGCCATGATTCTCAGTGGTTTGGCAGTTAAGTAGTGATGTAATTTGGCACTTATATAATGATGCAGTCATCCTTCATTTTGTAATCAGAGGTGGTCATCCTCCGTTTCCACATAACGCCAATTTTCGCATAATGACCTGGTGTTTGGAACATAATCATGTCAATAAATGAGGAGTGGGTGTAGATAGTATGATGGAAAATTGGAAGGAAATTTGTCTTTGATGTATGAGTTCAGTTGAGGTGTTACTGAAATAAAATGAAATGTTAAAAAAATGTGGAAATCATAATACAGGACATACTTGTTCTTAGAGAATTCAGGTCCCACTATTCAGTTATGTTTTTCATCTAAGACTGAGAAATATATAACAGCCATAGCAAGCTGGTTATTTCATTAAAGAAAATTTCTATCCAAGGGGAAAAAATACTTTAAAGGTAAAAAATAGGAATCACAAAGGGAGGAAAACTGATTGAGAATAGAATGTGTTGTTATTAGGTGCCATCTGGTCGGTTCTGTCTCATAGCGACCATATATATAACAGAACAGAATGCTGCCCGGTGCCCTGTCCTGCGCCATCCTCTCAGTTGTTGCTATGTTTGAGCCCATTGCTGCAGCCACTGTGTCAGTCCATCTCATTGAGGGTCTGCCTTGTTTTCTTTTGACTGTCTGCTTTTCCAAGCATGATGTCCTTCTTCAGGGACTGGTCCCTCCTGATCACATGTCCAAAGTATGTAAGAAGTCTCACCATCTCACTTCTGAGGAGCATTCTGGCTATACTTCTTCTAAGACAGATTTGTTAGTTCTTCTGGAAGTCCATGGTATATTCATTGTTCTTTGCCAATACTATAATTAAAAGACACCGATTTTTCCTTGGTCTTCTTCATTCATTGTCCAGCTTTTGCATGAATATGGGGCAGTTGAAAATACCATGGGTTGGGTCGGCTGCACCTTAGTCCTCAAAATGACCTCTTGGCTTTTTAACACTTTGAAGCAGTCTTTTGCAGCAGATTTGTCCAATGCAATGTATTATTTGATTTCTTGACCACTGTTTCCATGGGTGTTGATTGTGGATCTGAGTAAAGTGAAATCTTTGACAACTTCAGTCTTTTCTCCGTTTATCGTGATGTTGCTTAGAAAGTGAGATGATGCAGTGGAAATATGAACATTTGAAGGAAGATATGTTGATTATAGTACCCTTCTGGATTTTATCAAATGTACTGTATCTGTAAGATGACGACATAGTAGAGTAGCTCGTTTTATTGGATCATTTTGTCTGTGTTGTTGAGTAGGTGAATGCTGCTGCCAAGGCCATTCTGAC